AAGCAGATGGATGGGCCGTAAAATTTTATCTTTAGTCGTGAAAGCAAAACAACATATAGATAGTTACTATAGATGTCATCTAATTTGGTAATTAGTTAATTACTAATTTGTGCAAAACAATAGAACATGATCTTCTCTTTATACTTTGCAAATCCATGTTTTATGCCTATTATATTTTCAATCAACTTCAAATCCATACATTATCTGTATATATTGAAAGCGGTTTTGCTATAGAGATATTGAATGACTCGGCTTATGGAGCCACCATCGTTATTCGCAAATGATGTACTGATACGTGTACTGCAATAAATACATATTGAACATGTGTCATTACATAAAGTTATAGATGGTTCCATAAGGGAGTTATCCAATTGTTCCATAGATTTTCTGATATTGAAAGAAGTTGATGAAAAAATCATTTGCGAACAGTTGAAAAAAATCATAATATTTTTTTTTTTCTTATTAACTATATATCAAAAGTAAATTTAAAAAAGCGTATGATATTAAAAATATGTGGCTACAAATAATATTTTTGATTGATGTAAATCATATTTTGTATTGATAATTAAACACAATATTACAATCTACATAGTTCATATTCCACACAATGTCTACGTTAAATGAATCATTAGTCACATTTTCAACACGGGCACATCATTTGTGCTGCTATCGGTTTTCCTATACGTATACCACTTAGCACAAACCAAGAAGTAACCCAAGTTCACAATCTCCAAACCCGCCACCAAGTAGTAGAACCAATCCAACCTTCCCCGGTTAAGATCCTCCGCCAGCCAGTTACCTCCGTCCCGGACCTCCGTCGTCCGGTGAACCCCCGAGATCAAGAAACTACTCAAATAATTAGAAACCGCAAACCCGCTAAACAACACCGACGGGCCCAAGCTTCTCATGTTCTCAGGAAACTGCTTGTAGAAAAATTCGACAAATCCAATTACAGAGAATCCCTCGGACAACCCAGCCAACACCAGCTGAGGAATCAACCAGTTTCCCGACATGGATGAAATCGCCCCTTTCCTCGGGACAAAGCCCAATGTGGGCCCCGTAAGAGCCAACGTCCTACGGTGATGCTCCACGAGGCCCGACAAAATCATAGTCAGCACGGAAAACACCATCCCGATCCCGATTCGTTGTAGGACCGTGATTCCCTCCTCGTTTCCGGTGATTTTTCGGAGGAAGGGCACGAGAAGCCGGTCGTAGATCGGGATCCACACGGAGATTGTAATCATGGTGTAGACTTGGTAAGTCGCAGCTGGAATGACGAAATCGCCCCTGCCTAGCTTGCGGTCCGTTTGGATTGCCTGGAAAACGACGTAGTTTTGGGTTACAACCCAGAATATGTAGTACACTATCCCGGCGATCCAAACGGGGATTACTCGAATGACGCACTTTACCGCCTCGACTTGTTGCACGCTTCGGAGATTCCAGGGTTCCGCGGCCGAGCCGTCCGGGTTTATGACGTCGCCCGGTTTTTGGATAGCCGCTTTATTTAGAAACCTATACGTGGAGAACATATACTTCAATATTTGTGTGCATAGCATACTACAAATGAAAAAGAAAAAAAAATCGACTAACCCGAATTGATCGGTGTAAGCAAGTCTCGAGATAATCGAGTCCGCGGGTACATGATCAAACAGCGAGTCCCACGGCCGTTCGGGCAGCTCCAATTTCCGATTCTTGAACGCAGCCGCCAATGAGCGGACGAAATCCAACAACGGGCTACCCTCGGGCATAACCTTAACGTAAATTCTCGTCCCAATAAAGAAAAACACGCACGAAAGGAGCATTAGGGAAGTCGGGATGCCGAGCCCGATGGCCCAATTCACGTTGGACTGAATGTACACGACGACTGTCAACGAGAGGATCATGGCGAACGTGTACGTGAAGTAGTACCAATTGAAGAAGCTGTTGATGCCCCTCTTGCCCGACTCCGTGTTCGGATTGAATTGGTCGGCGCCGAAAGCCAGGTTGCAGGACCTTATCCCGCTGGCCCCGAGTATTAGAAGCCCGAATGAGGTGAGTAAGAAAGTGAGCTGGCCCGATGAGGGCCCGTGGCACGCGCCTTGTTGTTGGGGCCCACATTTTGAGGGGTGTAGTTGGGGAAATGCTGCAGAGAGGGTTAAGACCAGCATCCCCTGCATATTCAAGATTAGTAACTTTTAGACAGATATTTATCTTGTATGGGTGCTTGTTTTCTTTGGAGTTTATTGCAAAATTTGCCTTCAGAATTTTCTTAATTACCAAATTACCACAAAACAAGGTTGTTAAAGGAGCCGAGATCTAGTTCATTGGAAGTTCATTTAGTTAACGAGCCGACTCGGCTTGGCTGAGCTCGTTAAAGCTCAAAAATATTTTTTTTACATAATTTTAAATAATTCGACTCGTTAATATTATTAAATCGGCCGCCACAAATATCCAAACTTTAGGGGCATTTTGTTAATTTTTGAACCCGAGTGGATAAGTTATGTAATTAGGGGAAACCTCAAGGTTCTTTTGGGTAAATGGAGGAATCAAATGATTCAAATCAACATAATAAGATTAATACGATTGAAGAAGTTTGTTTCATTACGAGAACAAACAAAAAGGGATAAAAAAGGTGTGTTTGTTTATAATTATCCCAAAGACACAGTCAATTAATATTCAAATTCTAACTCAACTTTAACTCAATTCCATTATACACAATATTATAATTAAATAATATCAATCAATCAGTTATTCTTAGGCATCAAATCAACTTTAATTCACTATTCATCTACTCGCATAATTTTAACTAATTATTCTTTCACATTATATCTCTCATATTTTTACATCAAACTACTGTAATTATTTTATTTTAAATATTATTTAATATAAACTCAAAATCTCACTAACAACTAACAATACTACATCTTTTAAAATTAACTCTAGTTAACAAAAAAAATTATTTTGAACGGATATATTTGCATCCAAGCACGCCTAAAGACTCTTAAAAAAGATTGGTGTTTGGTTAGTTACCAGGAAAGAGGAAATTGAAGCTATGCCGATGGTCTTGTATCGGCCGAGATAAGTGTCGGACATGTAAGCGCCTACCAAAGTCCCGATCATGCAAGTCCCGTTGAAAATGTTGAGGATGTTTGTGGCCGTTATGGAGTTCATGTTGAACACCGTCGTGAGGTAGACTAACAGATTAGATGATGTCCCGATTGTCCCAAGCTTTTCAAATGTCTCGTTTCCTATACATCAACCGTGAAAAAAAAAATAAAAAAAGAGGTTAGTCTAAGAGTTCATTTTGAAGAAATATCCAAACTCTCTTAACCAAAAAAAAAAAAAAAAATATTCTCAGCTTTCGATTAAAAAGCTCTGGACCAATTTTTATGAAGCCTGCAGATACTTCTAAAGAACGAACGAAATAAGCTCACGAAAAGTTGTTAAAGTAACAATAAGAATGAATGTGTTCTTTTCGACTCGATACCTACTTTTACAGTTTAGTAAAACTCGCTAAAAAAAGAGTCAAACGTCCGAGTTTGGGGCTAACCCGATCGAAATGGAGTTTACGAATAATTACCTATTATGAAAGGCAAGGCTTTTACCCCTCTGTAATTTGGCTCTTTCTTGGCGCCATTGATCTGATTGTGCTCCATATTTGCAGCCAAAAGATGAAAAAACAAAAGGTAGAAAATAAATTGTACAATCCTTAATGTTGTATTTTCTTTTGTTTTTTGTTATTTAACTATATTTGTCTAAGAGGTAAAAATTGGGGCATATATAACGAATTGTGATTGCTTTTCAAACCCACAATTATCTGATTTGAATGATGACTAGTTTGTTTTTTTTTTTTTTT